ATGACAGTCCGATAGATCATATGCGATAAGTATAAAAGAACTGCTACGATTCATAGTGCGTGGCAAGTCCTCGAGCAGCTGTGGCACATCACATGATTTCCCGTAGAGGCCTTGGGCTAAAAGTAATTAGGCGAGTTGATAGTTCATAACTAGACCGAAAGATAATTTGATACCTCACATTTTCTGCGCTTTGGCCAGAAATGAACTTGAACGCATCTTCACACAGTTGGGTGACTTCATATGGGAAAACAAAATAGAAAAAATAGAAATCTGGTACCAACACAGTGAACGATAGAAGCCGCTCGGAATATTTTAGCATAAACTTCCACAATGACTGGGATTGTTCGCTTCAGGCCTCCCAAGGAAAGTCGGCGAGGGTATGCAAGCCTGGGACAACAAACAAACGATAACTAACAATTCTTAGAAAGTAAATTACATACACTGTTCACTTGACCGAATTTCCAGAGAAAGCAAAATAATCCCATGCCAAATTACACACAATGACAACGCCTCTTTCCAGCTGATCCTACTGGGTGAACAAAAGAAGAACACCTAGTTTGGTCGTAGTAACACTCTCTGATCTGACAGTTTTTCATAGTTTAGAAGACGATTACCCAATGTCAACTGAACAAAGAATTCCTGTGACACAATTATTCCATGGAACTGAGTAAGTACATCTTTAGTCCCTGACTAACATCACACTTCTCTTTGTCTGTATGGTTTGTGTTGGACCATTCGTCTTGTTTACTTGGGAAACAACGAAAAGGTGCTATGGGACAATTGTTAAATGACAATTGGTCTCTCTAAACGGGAATGTGTAACAACAGTGAGTGAAATCGGTCACCAATCGCGCGTCAGTTTTATTTCTATGAGACACANCCCAACAAGTGAATAAACTTGACGAAAAAATGATAATCCAAGTGAACAACGATTGGGAAAAACGAATGCAAATCACAGGGACGAGCGGTTCGTTCAATATACCCAGGCACTCACACCTATCCGTATTTAGGAATACCGGGATCAAAACAAATGAAACACGGACGTGTGTGTGTGTGTGTGTGTGTGTGTGTGTGTGTGTGTGTGTGTGTGTGTGTGTGAAACATGCTAGGAGAGAAAGCGGGAGAGCAAATTGTGGAATGATCGATACGATAGCTGTGCAATACATCCAGATGGTCAACAAAAAATCAACAGCAGATAAAAATAAATAGACCCATTCAATCTAACTCAAACAGTAGAACCGCAAAGCGATTCGAAATAGTCTTCTGGGTGTTTGTGTGATGGAGAACGATGAGGAGAGGGAAAGCAATTTACTGCGTGGAAGAATTGATGAGGGGTTAGGTGGCCTCTGATACGATTGGGATAAAAGGAATGAGGCAAAAACAGAATCCATAACGATCTCCTCCGGATTCGAGAACATATTCAAATGGTACAGAGCTCAGGAAAAAGAAAGAGTAGTTCTGCGTAGAAGACAAACGATATCAAAACCGCAAGTTAACTCAACAATGAATGTCACGTTCCAGAACTTCTTACCTTCAAAAGTATCTCATTACATGGTTTGCTACTGTTCTGATAAGCTTTGAGAATGCCTATCTATCGGTTGGCACTAAGCGCCAGGTTCGTGTGCGCTGGGCAGAATGGAAACACCATTGAAACTGGAGCATTTTATGGTGAAAGAGAATGAAGAAATTCACAACATACTCGAGTGTAGGTTCATCGCAACTGCCACGTTTGGACGTAGATAGTCCTCACTGTCTCAGATTAGAAAACGCGAAAGACAACTGGCAACCTTTGTTGTTTCTCTACACTTCAATAAAACTGTGTACAGATTCGACATGTCCACAGCTGAACCACTGCCCTTGAAAATAAAAGAGGTCAACCAGTAGTCCGATTTAATTCACAAATATTCGCCGAAATACAGCAATCAAAACCGTCGTGTGAAAGGTTAATGATAGCATGAACTAAAATGAACTGCAAATTTTTGCAGAACTGACATCTGTTTGTTCAGTTTGGCTTTAACAATAAGAGCATGGTAGATTCCTCGTAGATTACAAACGATTTTGTAGTTACTGATCAGCAGGGCTGATCGGAGTTTTTTTATTGCAACCTCAAGAGCTGTGAACCGGAGATTAAGCGATGCACGTTGCGGCTGATGAATGTTGCATTAGCTCAACTTGGAAGGTAGTTTTATTCGCTCGAAAATTGATGGAACTTCCCAACCTTCCACCTAAATCTCGGTATATACATAAACCGAGGTATATAACACCATTCTATACAAATCGGACGCAAAAGTCACCACGACTTGAAATAGAATTACTGAAACAGAATAAGGGAGAAAAAATAACAGTCAACAACTTTTTTGGCACGCAATTTGGACCATTTTGTTTGTTTCATTCGGGGATTGGATAGAAAAGGGTACATCCACGCTACTGACTTCGGTTCGATGCCACATCCTGCATTGTCTCCAGTCAAAGGCAATCTGAATCTTTGAGGCCCCAACCAGGAAGGCCCGAGGGAAGTCAAATTTGAACATTATCTCTTCAATCCTCTACGTTACTTTATAGCCTGCCCATCTCGTTGTTTCTTCCAGTCTGCAAATAGCGCACGGTATGGCAGACTTTGGCCAGGCACTCGTTGAACGTGCCTTAGCCACCTCAGACGATGCGCAATACACATATCCTTTCACTTAACAGGTTCTTCTCAATCATGCAACAACATCTCACAATTTGAGGGTGCAAAGGACATACCATAAACGAGCAACCTTAATTGCCAAACGATTCAGCGATAGTTGAGTCGTCGGTGCGTTATCACCGAGTAAGGCAATATAATCGGTATACTTTAAGTTTCTGACTTTATCCCCACGAGGAGCCTCGTCGCCAGCATTTCTTACGTTGAGCAACGCTTTTCGCAGATCATATAAGGCAAAGTTGAAGAAAAACGGAAAGATAGAGCAACCTTGTCGTACTCCACTGGTGACAAAGAATGAGGATCAGAGTTCACCATAGGCCCTAACCTTTCTCGAAGTCTGACGGTACAGTGCTTATAGAAGCAGGACATACTTCTCAAGCACTCCGTATCTCCGCAAACAGTTCCACAGCGCAGAGCGATCGACAAGGTCGAAGGCCGCTCTGATGTCAAAAAAGACAATAGTTTGTCGTCTATATGTGGCAGTGTTCTAGCAGGTGGTAAAGGGTGCAGATTTGATCGATGCAACCACGGTATGTGCGAAACCCGGCCCACCCTTTGCGGATGTCTTTTGCCAAATGAGCTCAGTCTGTGTAATAAAACAGACACTAACAGCTTCGACGTTTTCGGAAACAGATTTACGGTTGGAACAGGCGTTGCAGCGGCCCTTATTGTAAATGAGTGTAACAAACGATTCTCCTTATGTATGGGGTGGACTTTCACTTTCCCAGATCTTCGATAACAGTCTGAAAAAGCTCTCACGAGAGATTATTCACCATCTGTAAGGACGGCAGGTGATATGCTGTCTCCTCCAGTCACCCTGAGGCGCTTTAGGACTTGGAGTTCCTTTTGGATCCCCGGTTCTGTGGAGTTTCACTGGAAAGTGACCAGGGTGCACTCTCAAGAGAACTACCTGAGACAGCCATCGCGGGAGCTGGTTGAGCTGCGACGTGAATTGCTCTGCCCAGCGTTCCAAGCGTCGTTGAAGACTGTGTATTGGTGTACCGTCTACTTCGCATATTGTTTCAGTAACGATTTGTATTTTGGGGCCCGTAGCACGGATGAGGTGGAACAGTTGCCGCGTGCTTCAGCAACTAGCTGCTGATTCCATCTCGTTTGCAGGTAGCATCCACCAGGTTTCTCGGTCGCGTCTTAAGCTCTTTGTGATTTCACGCTTGAGAAAGATGCACCGCTTATTGTGCTCGCTGTCTGCTAGAATTTCCCGACGGACGTCAAGAAATCTGAGAGAGTTGGATAAGACCCAGTGTTTTACAACTCGACGGGTCAGGCCACAACTGTGCATTACGTTTTAAATGGTTGTCCAGTGTTGATCTAAGCTTCTTGGTGGGGTAGTAGTTAGCCTTGCAACCAACTCGTTTTGGTAGTCGCCTAGCACGGCGGGATCAGAAAGCTTGGTGACACCAAGCTGACTGCATCTCATCTTTTTGAGGCTACCAAATCGCGTAGACAACTTGGCACAAGCCAGTATGTCATCATATATCCCTTCCATCCAGAGCTAATAGCTATATGATCAATCTGAGTCCACGGCTATCAAGACCGTGATGGCCATCAAGATGGGTCTCATCGGGCTACAGACGACCAACGTATGCGTTTAGGCTTCTCGCCAGAATCACAATATCCGCCTTGGGTGCGTTGAGAAGAAGCTTATGCAGGCTGTGATAGAAGGCATTGTTCACTGTATCCGGGCTACAATCTGTGGACGCGTATGCAGAAACCATGAATAAGTAATGTTTCTGCATTTTTGACTTTGCTTGAGACCCGCAGTCTCACCGCACATAGTTAGCTATCGACCGGGATCCCATCAAACAGTGTAGCCTCGGCCGTGGCGCCTAAGGAAATACCAACGTCCGTTTGACCAGACGTTGATGTGACTTAGGTTTCCAAAACGCTTCTTCTGCGATGAAAGGAGACGTCAATCTGAATAGTGAGCTTGGATCCTGAATGCATGTTTCCGAGAGGTAACACATATCAATCTCTGGACTTTCGAGCGCACGAGCCAAACCTGTTTGTTGCCCTCTATGAATTAAGGCTCTTACGTAGAACGAAGTCAGTTTGAACACCGAATGAGGTGGGAGGAATGAAACCGTAAGCTCCGAGAGACAGCACTACTGAGATATATGTCGAGGAGGTTTTGGTTGAAGGAATGTCGATAAAGATTATCAATCTCCTGAAGTCACGCAACTCATTGACTTGGGTTCTAGTCCATGGTTAAGGAGAAGAGTTGGCTGAATGAAGATTGGACTGTGGAGTTCGACAGGGATCCACACTCACTAGCGCTAAGACGCACTCGACTGCAACTACATAAGCTGCTGTGGAACCACATCGGCATAAGCCTGAAAACCAAGTTCGATAAAGAGAATAGCAATAGCTCAGAGAAAGATGCAAAGAAGGACATGCATGCGACTACCATAAGAACTCAGGAAAAAACAATTCGGAACTGGGAACAGCAAAGTCAGCAGACCCGGTTTGAGGCCTTATCAGGAACAAATACAGTTACAGATATTTTAGAATGAAAAATACGCAAGGTGAAATAAGGACACTGTTATTTTTGACACTTAGCAAAGACGTACTAACAGCAAGTGTTAACAGATCGTCTTGTGACATTCACAAGTTTGTGATGTAACCTCCATTCGCAAACTCTCATTCACCCATTCACTCTTCCACACCCATCCTCTCTCACCCACAACACCAAGTACATTAGTTATCACAATTAAATCATCTATTCTGATATAAACTCTGATTTTTCCACAATTATGTGTCGCCTCTCGATACCGGTTTAATCTAATAAGAATTGCACAGCATTGAGCTAGTTAATGTAGCACCGAAAACAAGCTTGTTTGCTAAGGTGTTCTCATGACCGCTCAATCGGGAATATTTTCGCCGTCCAGGATTTACTTGACCTCAGCCTGCTGCCCCTTATCTAATCAGAGAATTATTTTCCGAATGAGTGGAGCGAACGAGAGCAGGATAGCGCGCATGATTGTCGTTCGCTGTTGTTCTATGCAAATATCCAAGAACTACAATGACTCATAGGGGTCATCGGGAGTGGGATTGCGAGCGGTGCCCCTGCAACAATCAAACTTTGATTCGTGATGACACCTCCAACCCCTAGGTACCTATGTGTAGCCTGCAGAGCAGCATATTTGTTCCAGATAAGCCCATGGTCAGCAGTTTAGTTCATTTGCCTCTGATGTAAATTATTATCAAGTAGCTAGAACGGAGAGATTTGTAGCTTTTGATAGAGAGGAAGCCTGCAAAGTGAAAGTAAAAGATCCTCGACTACTGTCACCATGCCTCCGATGGCATTCATTTAAGCGTGAGTCCTCCCTACTCGCAGTTAACTGGTAATTAGTTAGGTTTATCTATGCTCAATCTGGGGACGCGACATGTTGCACGTAGATATGTGTGGATAATGGTAAATTTCACCAAGGGAAGATAAAAACAATATTGTGAATGATTCACTTCATTCTACTAGGAAAAAATAGAGAAAAAATAGTCACGTTTGAAGGGGATAATAATGCAGAGTTTACCGCAATTCACTGAAGGAACGGACAACGCTATTTACTGGATGCATTTAAACATACTGCAATATAACTAGATTCTGTTGACATTCGAACGAAAAACACGATAGAATGCATACCAAAGGCGTATCACATCCACCGACTAGGCTGATACCTAGCTCAGAACGACCGTCCAGTTTCAAATCGACACATCCAATTTGACCCTCTAAGGCGAATGGAGTGGCGGCTTCGACTGAAGTCTCTTGGGTGGAATACGGCGCACTGGACGTAGAGCCACGATGCGAACCGCTCTGACCTTTGTGACGGGTAATAAACAGCATTGAAGAACAGACAAGTTAGAGCGGTCATCTTTTATATTAATTGTTCGATTGCTTTAGTTCTAAATATCAGATGTTAAGTTTAAATCACATACACCAAGAACACAATACAAGTGGAAAACGAAAGCTCTCGCGCTGACTCAATGGGGACTCAACTCTTTTCCCAAAATAGATCAAATAGCAGTGCTTGTGAATAATCGATTGAAGGTAAGAAGTACGGACATCAATTGAAATCGCAGGATAGAAAAAATTGACAATAAAGTAATTTTTCAGCACCTGTTATTGGAGGTAGAAGATAAGACTGAATCACTCGATATGCGTTACAATTACGAAAAGTATCTAAAGCCTGACCTATGCGTGCAAAAGGCCTTTTTTATGCAGTTGTTATTACCCTGGTAATTCCCCTCCCCTTTCCTTCCCATCATTTCAACCGTTCTCTTACATCACCGCTGACACTTCGCTCTTCTCATTTTCTTATTACGTAACTCTCTTCGACCTACGTAATTGAACAATATTTTTACTCGGTTAACTTTCTGCGTCTATTCGAATTCCTTTCTGGTTGTATCTTTTTCGTATTACGCAACCATGTCTAACTCTCTATGCACCATTGCTGATCGTTTTCCATTACGTAACTGTTTCTATGCTAACATTCCCCTCCTCCTCTTTTACCCATACCCAAATGACTTTGGTAATGACTCAACCACCCAGTGCCTTCTGTCTGACCCCGTGTAATTGTAAATGTCTATATATGGTATTCTTATGATAAAAAAATTTGACCTATTTAATGTGCGTAGACAGCTGACTGAGAGCACGCGAAATTGATGGCCAATATCAATTCTGCTCATATTGTGTTACTTGTTTTATTCAAATGAATCAAAAGGAAAGGATATTTCCGCTATCTATAAAATGATCCCGCCAAGAGAATGAAAGTAAACCTTGTAGTCTTGCATGAATGCTCGTTAAAAGGATAGAGTAAACAACTGTTAACAAAGATGAAAGCAGCTAAGATATATTAACGGAAACGGGAATAGATCAAACAATAGCACCTTTGCACTGACAGTTATCATTTTCGTCTATTAACTCATTTCATTCATCCGACTATTTAGATTCTTTTATTGTTCTATATTTGAAGTTGACCAAGACCGGTCGACTGTGAACTCATCCTAATGAGCATGGAGTAGGATCGATATAAACTCGAGAAACAATTCTTTGCGCAGGCGACCTTTTCTTATTAAAAAAAATTGCCCAACTCGTGAGCGGTGCAGCCTTGGAAGCCCATTGGAGTCCACAGCACACACACACACACACAAGTGCAAACAAAAACTGCCGCAATGTATGCATTTGGCCATATTCAAATCGGTTACAATTTCCAGCAGGATAAAAATAAGCGTCACTGACAAGCTCTTTGCAGAGAAACTGAGCATTTTGTTTTCACGGTAGCGCTGAGTCGAATGTCATATAACGTGATGAGTCACTTTATAAATACATGCAGTTTATAATTGCTACAATTCATTGAACGTATTTAGCAGTTCGATGGTAACTGTCAACGGGAAGATAAGTATCACAAATTATTGATTTGATATCTAAGACTTTTACATGAGTGGTGGTGTTCAAACGATTAAAGTAGTTGTCACTGAGCCAGAAGGTTCTGACTCTAACACTGGAACCGAATCTCGGGCGTTGGCAGCGTTTTTCCAAGTTAAAGTGTACTCATACTATTCTCTCCAATTAGTCTGTCTACGTTTCATGAACTACTATCCAAACCATCAACTTCAATGACATTTGTCGTCACAAATAATGATTGAAAACCAGGGCCTATAACAAACAAAGATCTCATTTACATAATTCACCCCAAGAAAACGCACGTCTAGAAATGGGCCCACAAAATCCTTGACTAGGGCTAACTGTAAAAACTATACCACTTATTGTAAATATAGTAAGGGAATGAGGTGGAAGAACGGTGTATATCACAGTTGTCTGATTCGGTGGATAAAACAGATTGCGTAGAAAGAAAACACAGGCAGATGAGCCACTACCTTGGACGCGACGCTGGGGATTTCAATTAGTGCCTCGTTTCCAAGTTTCTTCATGGATCGTTTTACAATATAACACCCCGTTCATGCTAGGGCGTTCAGGGGTAAGCGAAGTACATTGCGCTTTCCCAGTAACTGGTGTGATAAGTGAGCAAGCTCGGAACTTAAACAATCCATACACCAAGTCAAAAAATCCCGTAACTTACTTTAATGTTAGGACATGACTAGACACAGGAAGCTATTGCGTTAGAATGCGTTCCTTGCACAACTACAAAGTCGACATGTTGTCCGAAATCTGACTGCCTACCTGTGGCAAAATGCGAATCAACGTACCACATGGCGACGCAACCTATGGGTTATAGCACAATGGATCAACTGACAAGTCCGATTTGCAGAGAATGGCAATCGCCGTGAGCAACCGTGCCAACAATGACTTGATCTCCAGAGAACCAATCGCTCCCAGGATTGCCATTGCGCGCTTCAGGGATAAGCCGTTCTACCTGACTATCATCGCTGTCTATGTTTCAACGTTACGTGCGGAAGGGTCCATAAAAGACGACTTCAAGACGCAGTCAACCGTAGTCCGACAAACGATGTTACTCTTATCGCGGAAGGCTGGAATGCACACACTTGTCCATCAGAAGAGCATAACCGGGACTCTCTACGGGAGTTCGGCCTTGGTCAACGTTGTGAAAATCGCGAAAACCCAGTCATTTTTGCTGACCTTAACCGGCTGGCCGTGGCCAACACCTGTTTCCAGCACCCCGGAAAACATCTACTTACTTGGTGTTTGAATGATGATCCAACGGCACGTCAAACTGATTACATTTTGATACGTGCCTGCGGCGCCTCTTTAGCGGAAGAGCGACGTTCCTATCGCGGCACAGGACCTGGAAATAGGAACGGCACGGACCACACCCGCTTCAAGATCCACCTGACTGCTGGCCGGAAAACTCGTCTGAGGGAAATTCTACGTCGCTCCTGGAACTACCGAAGTAAAGGCAGGCTTTGCTGGACGCAACCGATTCCAAAGTAGCAGCAACTTCTTCCGACGATTCAACTGCTGACGTACATTGGTCCACGCTGAAAACGCTCATCAGAGAAGCGGTACTGGAGCAGTCAACTCAATTCAAGAAGTTGCTTTATTACACTATCTGGTGCAAATTCAGCTGCAAGATATCCCACAAAAAAGTAGATATGAATAAATGCATCACGTTTGCGAAGTTACGATTCCTCGTCACNGAAAAAGAGACTGGATCTCCGAGCGAACGCTACAGTTGTGCGCAGCGGCACAAGAGGCACGGTTAATCAATTCTGAATTCCGTATTCTAAGTCACCACACCACACGCTACACCAATACAACACTGGAAGTCAATTGCAGATAGCACGGGGCTGCAACCCCCGCAGCAGATTCTGGAAATTAATTTCGTCTAATCCGTGTCGCAGCAGGAAAGAGAAGGAAATCGGAACCACTGTTGCGCAACACCACAGGTCAACTTCTTCGGGGAAATGAACAG